AATGGCAAGGGGAGAGATGCCGGATGTAGGTGATGGGGAGGAAGGCAGCAAATCACACTGCCACGTGTGTACCTATGCAACAGTCTTGCATGTTCTTCACATGTACCTCAAAACCTAAAATGCAATAAAATAAATAAATGGGGGAAAAAAAGAATGATTTTTACTTGTCTTACTTTCCTCTCTCTGTCTCTGTGGGGTGTGTGTGTATGTCTGTGTGTGTCTATGTCTATGTATTCCTTAATAGTCATTAGTGCCCTTCCGAAAATATTTCTGGCTCTCCACTTCCAGGCATAGAGTAGAAGTGCATTTCCTAGCCCCCTCCTTTGCTATGGCATAGCCACAGACAATATTTATGAGAGTGGCTGGTCCATCTGCCTGGGTCCCTAACAGAACATGAAGGGAAGAGTCCTGGCCAGCCATGGTGGACATGTATTGTGAGCAAGATATAAACTTTTTCTTGTTGTAAGAGATATTTGTTGTTCAAATATTTGGCTATTTGTTGCTACATCAAAACCTAACCTATATTGACTGATGTAGTTTAGTTGGTCCCCAGTTTTAGTTGTCAGTATGCAGTATGGGAGATGGACAACTTCTTAAGAACTGCACAGTTTGGCTTTTGGAAGGGAATAATTTTAACCAGGGGATAGAGGTAGACCCTAACATGCATATGTAAAAGGTATCCAGATTGGAAAGGAAGAAATAGACTTCATTCTACCTACAGAAGACAGAAGACATCATTATGTGGAAAATCCTAAATGATCTACAAAAAAGTTCCTAGAAATAATAAGTCAGTTTAGGAAGTTACAGGACACAAGGCAAATACACAAAAATTTACTGTATTTCTGTATGCTAGCAATAAACAATTGGAATTCACAATTTTTACAGTAGCACCTCCAAAAAGTGAGACATTTAAGTGTAAGTATAACAAAAGATGTGCAGGATCTTTATGGTAAAAGCTACAACACACTGAGGAAATAAACCAAGGAAGGTCTAAACAAATGGAAAGATATACCATGTTCATCCCTCAGAAAATTCAATATTGTTTAGATGTCAGTTGTCCACAAATTGATCTATATATTCAATGCAATCCTAATCAAAATTTCAGCAGGATTTTTTTTGGGGTAGATATTGATAAACTGATTCTAAAATTTACATGGAAAAGGAAATGGACTAAAATAGCCAAAATAATTTTGAAAAAGAGCAGAGAAGTAACACTATTTGATTTCAACACTTACTATAAAGCCACATTAATCAAAATAGTGTGATATTAGTGAAAGATGAGAAACATAGATCAATGAGACAGAACAGAAAGTCCAGAAGCTAATCTACTCAAATATAGTCCATTGATTTTCATTAAAGTTGCAAAGGCAATTCAGTGGAGAAAGAATAATCGTTTCAATAAATGGTGCTGGAACAATTCGACATCCATATGCAAAAAGATGAATCTTGACCCAACTTCACAACTTGTACAAAAATTAATCTTAAATGGATCATAGACACAAATATAAAAAAAAAGTTAAGCTATAATGCTTCTAGGAAAACAAAGGAGGAAGTCTTTGTTTTCCTAGAAGCTTTATAGAAAAGCTAACCTATATTGACTGATGTAGTCTAGCTGGTCCCCAGTTTTAGTTGTCAGTATGCAATACGGGAGATGGACAACTTCTTAAGTGAAAAATAGGTATAAGGACTCCTTATAAACAAGGAGTCCTTAGACATGACACAAAAAACATGATCCATAAAATAAAAAGTTGATAATGAATTATACCTTATCAAAATTAAAAATGTCTGCTCTGACCGGGCGCGGTGGCTCACGCCTGTAATCCCAGCACTTTGGGAGGCCAAGGCAGGCGGAACACAAGGTCAAGAGATTGAGACCATCCTGGCCAACATGGTGAAGCTCTGTCTCTACTAAAATACAAATATTAGCTGGGCGTGGTGGTGCGCACCTGTAGTCTCAGCTACTTGGGAGGCTGAGGCAGAAGAATTGCTTGAACCCAGGGGGTGGAGGTTGCAG